CATTCAAAGGCATTTTATTCTGTTGATTCAAATTGTCTAAACATTATTACGTAACACGTATCATACGATTCTAACAGTGCATTTTGTCGAATACTGCCGAAATTTCACTTTCGCTGCCTCTAACAACTTTGCCGTCATTTCATCTGATTTGTAGGAACTAGTTAAACAAACCCAATTAATATGGAATGGCAAACGGTGAATCATTGGTAAAAGAAAGAAAAGGTATACTTGCTAATTGTAGACTACTTCCGATACGCCAACTTGTATAAGTTTCTTTGTACAATCTACTCAACGGGATTTCGCTTAGTGTTTAGAAACTAATTTCGGTAATCACTTGAGACATCGTCGTTAACTTACCAAGACATGGGCACCTATATTTACAGACATGTATACAAAGCAGCGATCAGTTCTAAACGCCCTTAGCCGCTAGTCACCACACCATCACATGCCTGAACTTACGTATTACAATACAATATACTTTCTTCCCCCACTCTGGCCCTCCCAGCCTCCAATAGTGCGTTTTCCTCAGCATGCAAGCATAGACAGCTATCCGACTTGTCTCCACAATTAGAACCCAAGTTACATTTTGGACATCCTCCTTCGTTACAGTTTTTGAGCCCTATTGGTGTTCCATTATATCCCGTTGCCACAACCCTATGATTTCTCACCAGAATGCACCCAACTCTACGCTTCATGCAATTAGATCTCTTGGCTGCTAGATCAGCCATGTACATAAAATAGGAATCCCACATTGGTCGTAATCTTTCGTTATTAGTTATTTCTAGTGCTGCTAGATGAGAATAGAAACAAGAAAGCTCGTGAAAGGTATTGACAATCGTCAGATCGGATGTAGACGTCATATTGTAAAGAGACGACGACAACGAAGGTGAATGGGAAGGGGATTTGGATGAATATTGAAAGACACTGTAATCGTTGCTTTCGATGAATTGTTCTAGGCTTTGTAGTGGTTTCTCTAATTTGCACTTGCTGAATGAGTATGTGTATACATATTAATATTAAATATCCATACAAAGGGTCCCATCTGGAATATAGTTAGCTCAGCCTGCATACCGATTGCGATATCTCTCATATCTCAGCATCACTGGTCCATCTACTGCAATCAACAGAAAAAAGGGCCGTCTCCTATATTATCGATGTAGCAACAATTGACAATTGAGTTTTGATATCTAAATCTGAAAAGGGGACAACAAGAACTAACTGCTTACAAACCTGTAAGATGCAAGTATCTCTTCGCTATCAATGTCACATGTAACAAAATTATCATCCCAATTTTCAGTAACGTATAGTAATAAATTCTCTGCGCTCGTAAAAATCAATGGGTGAAAGTCGTCATGCTTGCTTTCACATAGGGATAAGGCCTTAAAGTTATGCTCTTTTACGAGCCAGCCTGCTACCGTGTGTTTTCCCGAGCACGGGGTTCCTATTATTCCGATAAACATTGGGGCACGCGGGGAGAATGTATGGGCAAACAGTTCGAATGCAAAAAAAAAATTCTACAGACGTAATGCTTCCAAAGTTCCAATCAAATGAGGCTTTGGCGCGTACAAGTAAGACGCGCGCGATCAACAAGTGCAACAATCAGTGTAGAGTCTTCCAAAGGGAAAAAGGGAAACCTGATCTTCAGTAGCACACAGATATTTACAACCGGGGATACTTGGCCTTTTTTAGTATAGTTTACAATGTGTGCAGGCATAATAATGTTCGTAAATTTCTACTTTATGTAAAATTTTATAATGCAAAGCATAAAAAGAGCCAATACGTCATTACAGACACAGGTGACTTCCGAGCGTGTCATATTAATATTAATATGCCTTATCTAGGCAACCGGGTTTATTATCTTTGCTTGTTGAATATTATCTGCTTACTCGTTTCTACAAATATTCTGAATGAAAGCGCGTCCGAGAGACTATATCTAGGAGATTATTTACCACGTTCTTGCATCTCATAGCATAAAAAACTGTTGGATCATACTGTACCAGATGTCGTCGTCGGCCTTGTCAATTTATTTCACACAGTCAGTATCAAACGCTTCGTATTAATTAAGTTGTCCCGAAATCTTGGGTTGCTGATCAATTCGAAAGATTAAATGAAAATATGGTTAGTAAGGCTGATAATCGCTTCACGCAATTCATTACTTATAATACCTAAAATTGAATTTGCAGTAGGTAAAATCTTGCTGGAAAACTTGCTCTCCTTTTCAGCACGCGACAACGGTTCTATCTTGTCGTTGTAATAGACGGTATTCCACACGTTGTTTTGAGATTTATCCCTGTCGGCCTCTCGAATCTGTTCAACTATAAGCGAATAGAGCTTTCTGGCATCTGGACGCTCGTTAGGATCAGCGTCACAGCACTTCTCAGCAAGTAGCTTATAAGGCTCTGGTGTCGATCCCGGCAACTCTGGCCGCAGCCCACCACAAATGCGCATCACCAAAGTCTTATCGAATGGCAAACCCCGAAAAGGTAGCTCACCGCTAGCAATCTGATACATAAGAATTCCGAGCGCATAGATATCCGATTTTTGAGTAAACTTGCTAGTTTGAAAAATCTCCGGCGCAATATATGGTAATACACCTTGGACGTTTGAAGAGTCCGGTTTGGATGAAGTCTCCGATTGGGACAGTCCAAAATCACATATAAATGGCTTGCTAAGGCCCCGTACGAATTGTTTGCTCAAATAATCATATTCCAATTTTAGCATTTTATCCAGAACTATGTTTCCACCATGGAGATCACAATGTACTAAACCTGTATCATGAATAGCAATCAGGCGATCTACAATACCCTTTACGCATTCCAGCTTCATCTTCCATGTCAGTCTGTTGATATTTTCATGCAAGTAAGACTGAAGATCGCCGTCACTAGCATATTGCAAGACTATCATGTACTCTTCGGTGTCTGGTCGTCTGGTGACTCCGTAGACGCTGAGGGATCCTGGTTTAGAGCATCTAATGTGATTCCTAAGCTATTATAATAAAGCGAGGCAAATTAAAATCACCGGATATAGATTATTATTATTTTTCATAATACTGACACACAGAATTCACACATACCTCGGAAATGAACGGGCTTATTGTCTGGTTAAAATTTTTAAACCGTTTCAGAGCGACGCGTTGGTCTTTTTTTGATAAATACACATCTGTCTTGCATCTGGCAGTGTAGACTGTTCCGTAACCTCCAGAACCAATCTCTTCAATTTCATAAAAGTTGTTATAATCTATAAATTTCATTTTGTTAAAGTCATTCAAACTTTCAATCTCCATAAATCTATTCAGGGCTGAAATAATGTCATCATAAAACATCAAATAATAGTCTCCGGTCGACAATTCTCGAGTGATTCCAATAATCCAGATGTTTTGAGGAGTGGTTATCTCTGGATAACTTTCGGTCAACTATGTTTCAACACGTGTTAAGCATTCCGAATACAAGGTATGAAAAAGTTTATGCAACCATTTATTTACCTGACAAAAATCAAAAAGTCGAGCATTCTGTCCATCAACCACTTTTTTGAGCATAACTTTTATCAACTCATTTTTACTCGCTTTCCGTCTTAGCCAATTCGCCGTTCGCGTGCATCCGTGCTCTAACGACGGCGTTTCCTGTACATTTATCAGTTGAGAATATTCCACCCATTGCAAATGACTATCAAATATCGTATCTGTATTCTTCCACGATTCCATCAGGAGCGTGTCTAAGGATTTGTTGCCGGTAGTCCAATTAAGAGGTCTTGGCGCTTTGCATTTAAAACAAAATGCGCTTATTCTAGAGTCCAAGCATTCTGTGCAAGCCAAGCACAATCCATCATTATAAGTTTTCTGTCCAAGCGTGCTACCGTCTTTGATCAATTCATATTTTCTAAAGAGCAAGTTGTACGAAAATCCAACCGACACCCAAACTGTCGTGTCAAGTATATCCGGATGCGCATTGCATAACTAAGGGGGATGGTATAATTTATTAGCGCTAATATAAATAAGTATAGTTGTTTCAAGCTAGCAGTTAATATTAATAGACATAAATGCATACTTTATGATAATACGAATCGTCCGTTTTATCTGATATTTCAAGTGGAATCATCTCGATAGCATGTTGGCGATGTAAAAAACCATGACGCTGTCCGAGTGAAGCTATATATTCAATATCGTCAAATTCAAGCGGACCAGACGGAAGCCACTCTAAATAAGCTTCGTTTCCTGATTTTGTTTGCATTTGTGTTTTCTTGATGAATGCGTCGAGGCTCTTGTTGTCGCTAGTCCAATCGTTTGATAATTCCTTGTGACCGCAAATACACCAAACTGGGCTACATCGAAGTATTCTACACGAGGAGCAGAATCCGTGAAGAAAATGAGAATGGTGGAATATTCTGTCAGCTATTAGGTAATAATTGCTCTCGTATTTGGTAAATCCGTTTATCAATTTGTTGCGGAGGACGAGCCAATGTGGATATCTTTGGAAATGTTTAACGTTGGGTGGATTTTTATATTCGTGTGTTGGAAGTGAATATATCCTAGCGAATTCATTGACGTGTTCCGATGTGCATTTATCATTGGTGCCAAGTAATAGCATTACAATCGTCTTACGCACGAGCCTACCATCAGGCCGTGTTTGACTACGTTTAGCAAAACGATAATGAAAGGGTTGACCCGTGGCAACTTGAATTGGCTTTATGCTTAAAAGTTCGGAATCTGGGATCCACGTAATTTCATCATCACTGGTTTTAGCAAATTCGATCAACCGGTCGATTGCAGGGCATCCGGAAACGCTTTTACTACTTTGTGATTGTAGCGATGACATCGGAGTTTTTTTAGTGCAATAGTCAACTGGCAAATATACACTATACACATGCGTAACATATCATGTATGACTGAAAGCAGTGAAGTGTAACTTTGAAATTTATGTATTAAAAACATATAGGTCGATAATTTCGCTTGTACATAACCAGATTCTATATATCCCGACACGCATCGTAAATCTACTTTTTAATTATCGCCGAGGAATTCCTCGACCACGGCCTCTGACAGCACGTTGCGCAGCGCCCCTTGGCATGGATGGACCAGCCTGAGGCTTTTCCGATTGCGGGTTTTTAACAGTTTCATCAACACTGAGAATCAAGCAAGCGGCCTCAGTAGCTGCGGCGATGGCGTTAGACTTTACGAGAGCGGGTTCCCATACGAAGGCGTCAAGATTATCGGCAATCGACTCTGAGTTGATATCTACCCCATACCACACGGCGCCTTAGAACAACAATGGAAAAAGCGTTAGGAAACGAACTGGCGACGATGAAATACAAAGTCGATGGTATACCTTGTGCATGCTTCATCCTGAGCCTATTTAATATATCGGTAGCATCAAATCCTGCATTATCACATAGCTGTCGAGGGATAATCTCCAAGGCACGTCCAAACGCGCCAATAATCAGTTGTTGTTTGCCTAGGATGGTTCGAGAATGGTCTCGAAGGTATTTTGATAATTCCATCTAATAAAATCAATTGCATACACAGTCATACAAACTCGTTTCCTACTGGCAGACACATACGAACAATCCGACAACGTACGTACCTCAGTTGCTCCACCTCCAGCCACAATCAAGTTGTTCTTGATGCACCTCTTTACTATCATTATAGCATCGTGTAAACTTCTCTCGACCTCGGCAATGAACTGTTCGGCACCGCCTCTCAATATTAAAGTACACGTCTTGGCAGCAGGGCAGCCTCGGAACAAATTAAATCTCTCTCCGCCTATTTGTCGCTCTTCAAAATGCTCACACGTTCCCAAATGCTTCTCTTCGATATCTGATGTTGTTGATTGGATCGAACCGCCCACTGCCTGCACTACTCGATTGAGGTCATCGGCAGGCACACGACCAGCACAGAAGATATCTCTGTCGGCAAAGTATTGAGTAGCCAAATCGCCAATTGGTAACTTGGAGAGAACAACTTTGGCTCCTGTCTTCACGATGGCTTCCAACTTGGAATAGATGATTTGCCATTCAGCATCTACAATAGCTTGATATTCCTAAAATAACAGGCAATTAGTTAATATACAGTATTGTGGTATAAATAATTTGTCCCACTACAAATACGTAAAAACAACTGTACGAATGACTAATGCTTTTTGTGTATATGTTAATAAATACAGAATATTATTCATAATATAACCACACGGATAACCATCCAACATACTCTGACGTCTTCAACTCTGACTTCTGCATTATCCTTTTCAGCTTTCAATTCTAGTTCAACGTTTAAAGAAAGAATCTTTGGATTCTTGAATGACTTGGGTTGCTGTTCAAAGCCAGCGTAAGAGAATGTTTTCTTAAACGCGACACCATCCACAAGCATCGAATCCTATTTACAATTAGATTAGAAGAGATACTGATAAACGGTAAAGCATCTAACGGATTATATTTACCTCCATTGCACCACCAGGTATTCTTTTAACGCCAATCAACCTTTCATTGAGCTCATCCTGATCCAATGTTAGCACTGCATCGACCACCATCTTTGTAAAAAAATCTTTATGGGAGTGTATGAGTTTTGATGACATGGCAGTTCCGGCACATTTGCTGAGCAGATTTCGAAATTCACTGAAACGATATAAACATTGAGTTAGCACATGCGTTTTAACCGAAAAAAAAAAGTATATATATATTTTTTGTATCCCACTTACACCTCATTTGTGCGCTCAATACTAACTGCCATCTCCTTTATTTTGTTAATCGCCTACTTGCACCCATTATAGTAACAGGTCAGAAGATTTTCTATGCATTTGTTTTTTTTAATGAGACAAACTGACATGCTATGAACTCACTTCAATTTAGTGTTATCGAATGGACTCACCAATTGACAAGCAGTACGGTAACCCTTGATTATGACATGAGGGCTTACACCCTCCTCAATGTATCCCTTGACTTCTTTCAACAGCTCCCCCGCCAATAGCACCACAGTCGTTGTCCCATCTCCAGCCTTTGATAGATGAGTAACGGTTGAATAATCACGAATGATCTGAAAAAAAAGTGTCAAACACAATCAAACCAGCCAGAACGACTTACTTCTGCGTCTTGCGATCGTGCAATGTCAACGAGTGTCTTGGCTGCGGGATGTACAACGTCTAATAGCTTCATAATAGTAGCTCCATCATTGGAAATAGTAACTTCTCCTGATGACGATAAATACGTCAAATTAGATTCGCCTCAGACTCATATGGGCAGGTCAGAGTTCCCGACTTTCATCCAACTTACCCCTCTCATCAACGATCAACTTGTCCATTCCCCTGGGGCCTAATGTCGTTCTCACAGTATCCACTACCGCCATACAAGCATTGATATTAGAAAGCAACTGTGCTCGACCCTGGGAAGTATCCGTACCCTCTTTGAGGAGGATAATTTGAGGTTGCTAATAGCAGATACATATCGTACAGAATAAATAGAGCAAAAAAACGAATTATTTTCTATTCAAAACAAATCAACGCGTATTCGAACAGTCATTAATGCGCAAGACAAGCGGCTCTGAAAACGGAGTAAATGACAAAAGATTCATTATACACGCTAACGCTAGCAAAGCTTGTTACGTAAAAAGGTTGACTCCTTGCGAATGATAACCAACTATTCCATAACCACTAAGACGTACAATCATGGGAATTGCCGGGCGCGACATCTGGAATTCGTTTTGTCTGGCGAGAGCGTAAAGCGATCACACACACTTTTTGATGCGTTTCCTGTCGTTCCTATTCTGGGCAAAAATTTAATTTCCTCATTTATATCACGTGATACAAACCTACACAGTGTTTAACCTTTTCCTTAAGTCTTAGGTAAGCAAATCGTATACAACGTAAGTGTTGAATCACTCATAGAAAGGGTCGCTACATTAAAATACCAAGTATAAATAGTATTGACAAGGACGCAGAGAACTTTCATTTCTTAACCGATTAATAAACGCGTAGTACTAAACGAATGCTAGTCGAAATATTGTCAAAGAGAAATAATTTTTCGACGAAGAATGGCACAACTATTCTCATCAAATGGACTGTCAACTCTACAACAATGAGCCTTGATTCGTATGTCAAGGATTACAATATTGAAGTGGACGGATTTGGACACGTGTCTACTGAGAGACGGCTTTATAATTTGATTTCGAATGTGCATCTAATTGAATAACATATTATTTAAAAATGTCAGCTCCAGCTATTAACAGCATTGCCATGAACATGTCCCGTTCGAGTTATAAGAACTTACAAGGGTTGCTCGATTTTATCACAAGTGTTTTAAAGTGCAAGATAAAACAGCCTATTCAGAACAGAATATTCAACGCCTTTGTGACAATCAGTTGACATTCCCACTCCCATTCTCTATTTATGGCCAAAATAATACAACTCTGCAAGTTCTGCCAACATCTACATGTTTGCGACGATGGCTATGCACACTATTAGCCAAAAATGGCGTCTTGTGGTTTACCTCTCTTAAAAAATAAAAGTAGATGCGGCGACTGGTAGCCGACTTTTGTATGAAGGTCAAACCCCCGAAGGAAGGGCGGCAGATGCAAATTGTTGTAATTGTTGTGCATTACTTATTAAGGATTATTCAATAGTTATATAACGGCAGTAGTCGAGAGAGATTAACGCTTTGTCTGCATAACGGACATTCAGGCTACACTTGTGAAAAGACAATTAATAACTTTTATACACGTTCATACATTCAATACAATTTCTCATTCTCTTTACCTTGTTTTGACACCACTCCAAGATACAACTCCAACAAAACAAATGACCACATGAAGTTGCAGTGGTGTTTTTTCGCGGTGATAAACATAATATACATTTTTTTGCGTTAAATTCAGCTTGAGTCATCCGGACGGTGCTTCCCGTATCCTTTGAAGAAGAAGGAAGGCCGCTAGAATAGTTGTATATGTTATACGGTTAGGATCTGTCACGACGAACAGATTTTGGTATGTCAGAACAAACGTACTCTTCAAAATAATCCACAGGTTGCTCAATAGCGGAACTAGATTCGATCTCGTCGTTGGTTTTATATAAATATAACTGTATCAGTAGTTGAACAAAGATCAGGAACCCGAGTACTTCATATCCAAGGCGTTCTTCTCCTGGTCCTAATTGGCGCGTAAAAATCTAAGAATAAATAATGTATCAATCAAAAGTCACGCGCTGCTTGCCCGAACAACCAAAATCACTAACAACAGTTGTCATCACTCACATATCTCACGCCACTTAATCTTTTGGAAAAACTATAATATGCCCCGGAGAAATAGAAAATTGCCAGATGCAATGTATGTGCATAATTATTTGTAAAGCTTTCTAACTTCGGGAGGATCGTATGCACGAAACCACTCCACAATGCTTCATAGCGGTTTGACGAAGATGTGCTTGATCTCGTACTGCGTCGTAGTTTTGAGACAGACCGTGTGAAGAAATATGGTAGAATAAGCTGATAGAACAAAACCAGAGCACGTATCTAGAAAGATTACAGTAGTAATGCTAGTGACAATAATATATAGCAATAACTAGGAAGTACTGGTTGAGAAAATGACGTTACTTTTACAGCAGGAAATTTATTTGTCTTTTCTGATATTTGTAGTATATCGCAATATTCTTCTCCAAGTGTTTGCGTACCTAATTCAAGTTATATATAACGTAGATGAGACGTTGATCTGACTCGCAATGACCCGGCCCACCGTGATATTTACCAAGTAATGTTGTTAGACAAAAGTAACATAAATCAGAGAGCAGACCAAGTTCCTTTTGATGTAGATTTTGACTTCGCGTGCCTATTTCAGTATTATTGTTAACGTTAGCGAGAGATGTAGTCAAGCAATACACAATCATCACTCAAAACTCTTGCTAATATGAAATACCGATCGGAAGAATTCATAATGTGACTTACCAAAGTATTGCCTGAAAACTGTTCTCACTTGGGTTTCAAGTACTCCTCTATAAAAAGCATCCTTTTGATTTGAGCGAACTGACCAGAAAGCCACGATTGACGAAAATTAGATCATCATCACATAATGCAACTCATTTTGGCTGATGTTCGATGAAAGTCACTCACTTATGTCCGGTTGTGCAGCGTATGGGAAGAAGAGATTAACTTCTTGTGTCACACCATTGTTGTTTTCATTCTTAGCTTTCGTTCCGTTATTTGCCTCCGCGGTCGATTTCGTGTCAGTAATTTCGGACATTCTCAGAGAATCTTAATTGTCCGTTACGCACGCAATAATATATGGTCACATGGCAATACAATTTGAATTCCCGTGATTTCCTATCTATCAGGTGCGTGACTTTGGATAAGAATGAGTACCTTTCTCGTATTTGTTGCTTCAGCCAATATTAAATGTTCTACATTACATTCCTCAAAATTTTTCTTTGCGTCTGCTGATTATTATTGTCTACTACTTCTGGATTATCCCAAATTACTATTGTCTCAAAACTAATAGTGTGGTGACATATGTAGATAACACATAACTCGCCTCAGCCGATAGCAACCGTAAATTTAGCTCATCGATTAAATGTGAGCAAGTTACGCCTTTAGAAAAGTTTTAAACCGATGAGCTTTTCCGCTACGGTTGGTGTGTTCCATGTACAGTGCCCTCCAATAAATGAGTGAGTAACACAAAATTTTGCAAATTATACATCAAGTTCGAGCGCATGTAACGAAAAACTTTATTAATGCAACTGCACATTGTGCACTAATTAAACTTGTTCACGATAACATTTTACA